CGTTTGCATCCCAGGAGGTCCCACGAGGTGCCTGGCTTAGTATAAGCCCCCTCAAAGTGATTATAGAATGCCTTCTCGAGGTCAGCCCATCGCTTGATCGTGCCTTCCCAAAGGTTGTTTAGCTAGTTTCTGGCAGAGTCAGTGAGGTAGATCTAAAGGTATTGGATCATGAAAAATGTATCCGGTGCGGGTGCCGCTTTCATGGCGAGTTGGTAGTTTACCAGCCAAATCTTTGGGTCTGTCTCACCGTTGTATTTTTCAATGTTGGGAGCATGAAACCTATGGGGCGTGGGAGCTGACCGGATTTGGTATCCGAACGCGGGAGGTCCTTCCAAGTCATAGGGGTCGCCCTCGGCGGCGCGTGGTGCCGGCTCGGGTCGGTTCCTGGGATTCCTCCCATCGTGACGGGTATTGCCCTCGCCATCAGAGCAATAGCTGCTCCCTAAATCGTCATTAGCCCCATCATCCTCGTGACTCCCTCCATTGGGAGAGCGCTCTCCGCTGCCTCCCTGTCCACCACCATCGTCGCCTAGTTGCGGGGCATGATCTTGGCGGCGTCCGTGGTTGTGGCGTGGGCATCTGTTAGATCAGCGCGGCGGTTGAGCCCTCGAGTTTTGGGGTGCATGGCTGCGTGTAGCAGACGTATCGCTAGGTGCTGATATGCGGTCGGCAGCGGCCGCTATCAGCTCTTGAATTCTTTGGAAAGCCTATCGGCCCTCTTTGGTGGATGGCTGTGGCATCGCTGCTACTTCCCTCATGGCCTCGGCCAAGTTTTGCTCAACGTTAGAATATACCAGAGCTGCTCGCATAATGTCGTTGTGGGCCTGACGGCCCCGAGCGGCGTTCTGCTGTTGGAGCTGGCGTCGGAGTTTTTGATTTTCCTCTACCAACACGTCGTTGTGATTAAGCAGACAATCCCAGGCCTGCTCGCTGGTCTCGTAAGGCGCTGCATAATCCAACTCGACATGATCTGGGGGGAACGTTCGGCTATGATATACCCGTTCCTCTCATGATCGTTCACACCGAGGTAGCAACTGCGTGTATGCGAGATGATGTAATCATCGTCAACATCCGGGTGGCTAGCTCCATGTGGCTGGTAATGGTCGAGGAGAGAAAGGCATGAAGTCGCTGCATTAATGAGTTCGGTGGCTCCCATGTCATGGTGCTGATCGCTCTCGTCGAAGCAGTTCGATTGTTCTAGGACAGTACCGCCCTGGCGGAGATTGTGAATGGTGACCCCGACTAGGTTCGAGTCAAAGTTGTCATTGTGGTGGTCCCCATCAGTATGACGCGGGTTTTTTGGTTTCTCCGTAGGAGATCTGAAAAATAGCATGACAGCCCGAAGGGGCTGGTTCGGGCGAGTCGTCACCGCATGTATTGGCACTCCCGAGGATCAGGAATGAATCAGATCGAGTACCGCATCCATTGTCAGGACTGGATCCCCGATCTTGCAAAAGAAAAGGGTGGCGTTGAGTCTAGGCTCGAGGCCAAGTTCGGCGAAAAGCTGACCGTGGCGGGTTAGACGACGGGCGATGGCGAGCGGTCCTCCGTCGATAGCCTTCTCCAGTCCGACAGCGAAAGCATGAATCTGGAGCGACTGCTCCTCCTCCCGTTCGGTTGGCTCGGGCTCCTGTAGGCGCAGGTCCCCGAACCGGTTGGCGATGAAGTCGAGCTTGCCGAAGACGATCCTCGTGCCAGGCTGCATCTTCTCCGGTTCGTTGCCGAAGTCAAAGACGATTCCCATCTGAAACACAAAAACAAATCTGAATGCGAAAGGCCCCTACCTAGCGCGCCAACTGTCGGATTGTTTTGCTCCGGCAATATCTAGCAACGTAATCGCTTAGACGGAATCAGATGGTAGCACACGAGACACAGAGATTTATACTGATTCAGGGCGTGGTATACGCTAATCCCTACTCCAGTGGTGCGGCTGCTCTTGTATTCGTATGCTCAATTACTGGGGTTGTTGCTCCTAGCTACGAGGTAGATGGAATTGGTGGAAGATTGGATCCCGAGCCCGAGGTCCCTACCCTCCTTTATATAGGCAGGAGAGGTAGGGTTATAGAGAGGGCGATTGGGCTAACATATTGTTTTCTTGTTTGTTACAATAAATTGATCCTTGCTATCATCCAGATATGCCTGCCTTGGTTTGCCTTGATCCCCACGTTGGTTGATCACGTCAGCCCTTGTGGGCCTCCTCCTTGACGGTTGCTGGGCCGATAGCTTGGTGGTAGTCATATATATAGGCGGTGCAGGTACCTCTAGCCCATATCTCTGACAATATTTTTTTAGTTCACATACATACGATCACAATAGCATCAAAGGCTCAGAGCGGTCATGCTCAGAGCCTCTGACGACGACTAAATTGCTTGCTTCACTAGTAGTTTGCGCAACAACATTGCTAGTGCCTAATAAGTTAGAGCAACTCCAACCATGGTCCTACCTGAGCCACATTGCTAAATATTGGTGCCCCGGTAAAAAAACACAGCTCCAGATCCCTACTAGATCACCTAAATTTAGGTGGGCACCCAAATTGTCCCTCCGACACCCATTTCTGGGGGCTCTAGGCCAAGCCCCCAAACACCGGGTTCTTGTGTTGGTGTGCGCGCATTCTCCCAACCCTTCCCTGCCCGCGCGACCATGACTCACATGCGCGAACCCTGGCAGCGCAACTCCCTCCACCTGAGGGCGCAACTGCGTACTACCTCCGCCGCCGGCGCTGCTCCACCCCCGGCGCGGTGGCATGACTCCCTCCCCTCCCCCGAACAGCACGACGAGGCGAATCGCCCCACGATGGTACGACTGTGACTCTCTCCCCTCCCCACGACAGCACAAGGCGCGACTCCGAAGTGCCCCTGTCGAGTCCAGGTGTTTTGGACGAGTTAGTAGATGACAACCGGGTCCCACATGTCATTCTCAGTTTGACTGAATTTAGGGGCTTTATTTTGAGGGTCACTGCTGTTGTACAGTCCAAGAAATAGAGCCCTCAAGATGGGAGGAGCCCCAAATCTAAAGTAGAAGTCATGTTTAAGGGCCATTAATTGATGGGGTTGCTCTTAACCGCTGTTTCAACACCATACAAGGCCGAAATTACCTCAACTTAAAAAATGGGACATGAATACGGTAGTCAAGTGCTCACTTTAATTTGTCTCAAGTTGTAAGTCATTCTAACTTTCTTGAGAGATAAAGCATCTAAAGTTTAACTAAAATTATAGAGTACTATTATAGAGATTTATGACATCAAATAAATATACTATGAAAATATAAATAAAGAATCTAATAATAATTATTTGGTATTATAAATGTTATTATTTTTATTATATAAACACTATACCACAGCCAATCTGTAGCGTCTCCAAAACGGTCGCTATAAGCCGTTATAGCGACTAATCATCGGTCGCTATAACGTTATAGCCACCGATGTATAAGTCACCATTACAAAAGGGAAATCACACATACAACCTAGGTCAAATGGCAGGCACAAGTCATATGTTTGCTTGCACAATCTAACTAGATTCACTACAAAATGACTCATCTCCATCTTAACAAAAGCAAAATGTCATATTTGCCTTCCCAGTGACATTATCCAAATTCCAGCATCATGTACCCCTCCAAGGCCTCCCTACACCTGAACACAAGTACACACATGAAGTTAATTATGGGACATACAGAGGAACCAAACAGTAGTGATACCCATAATCTAATTGAGACTAGAAAATAGTCAATAGGAAATCTCAAATGGAAATAGATAAATATCATCTCCCAGGTTCAAAAACACTGATAGTGTATGATAGTTATGCTCTTCTCTCTTTTGGCAAGCAATTATGGATATCATCATATTAAGCGCAAGATCATAGGTACATAGTTTAACTTCCTTTAGCATGGACTTCAGTATTTCTGAAATTTTGTTTCAGATTGACAAAATTTATTGCAATTTGGTACAGATATCGTGTCTTTGGAGTCTGACAGCTTTTACCAGGTATTCTTTTTTGGCCTCTAAAGTCTTCAGTATCATGATGTGTCCAAAATCATTTGTGCTTAACAGATCCTGTAGTGTTTACTATTGTTCTTGATTTAATTACTGATGATTTTTGTACGTGTAAATGCTCCTACAATTCCTTTGTAGATCCTCTGAACTTTTACATTGTCTACAGAGTTGCTGAAGCCACAGAGTTCCAGGACAAGGGTTATGAATGTAAGCACAGTGCTATGTTCTTAGTTTTGCCATGAATGTATCCAGGTATCATTAAAAGATCCAAAAACATCACTGATCTCTAGCCAGTGCAGCACTGACCTGCATGCAAGCTTGAAAAAGATAAAAACAAAACATCACTGATCTGCATGCAAGCTTGAAAAAGATAAAAACAAAACACTGACCAACTAAGCTTTAACAGTGATTCGCAATGTCTGATACTTTGATCTCAGGCAAAAATGACTCCAAAATACTTCACTTTTTACCTATCAGTTTGGAACTTTGGTTCAAATTGTGAAAACTAGGAAGGGCAACTTTCTAGGTGCCTATAACAAGATGTCCATAAAACCATGCACATATTACTTTACTGCTACTGAGTGTTCGCAGGAGAGGTGGGAAATCACATGACTTGAAGTATTCAAGGCAAACCAAAATCACACACATATTACCAATAAGAAAACATTTATGCATCCTCAACAGAAAAAGGTAGAAATCACACTGCCCACCTGAGTTCTAGCTCTTCTCTCCCCCTGCTGCCAGTCCTGAATGTAAAAACAACAGAGTATAGGCTCTAATCAGCACCATGAAACTTGCTAACCTTCAACTGTCACAAGAGGAGATAAGTGACCTAAGAATGACATACCTGAAACACCTTGAGGCGATTTTGATGCCTTCAACTGTCACAAATATCAGAAATTATAAGTTTGACCATCTGTCATATATGAGAAAACAAGAAACGATAACAAGGATAGTATATTACTCTGTTGTATGGCCATGCAATCGCCAACCTATGAGCATCACCCATCTTTTAAACACCAGGATAAGTGCGAGGCAGAGTTGCGTCCCTTTTCAGCACATGATTCACAACAACTTCACAATATTGCTTTCCAAGAGGTACACCTCCAATAATGGTTTTAGGATTTGTTGAAATAATTGTTCCCAGAGCCACACGTGCATTGGATCTCACCACCTCATATAACATCACATTCATTCCAACTTGGGGTTGCACTGGCTTTGCTCGTTTTGCTGCATCGGGTTGCACTTCATGGGTTGCATCGTGCTGCACTGCAGGAAGAACGTTGCTGGGGATACACTGACGAAACGAGGTTGCATGGGGCTGCTCTTCATGTGCTGCACCGTGCTGGACTGTAGGGGCTGCATTGTTGGGGAAGCGGTGACTAGACAAGGGTGCATGGTGCTGCGCAACATGGGCTGTATCGTTGGGGGCGCACTGATGGGGTGAGGTTGCATGGGTCTGCACTGTATGGGCTGCACTAGTGGGGCTATGTTGATGAAACTGCTTAGTATGGGCTGCAAGACACCTCCGTGCAAACAAGTATTCACCCTCCTCGGGACATGCATCATGGTCTTCATTATCTCCATAATCTTCATCTTCTTCGAAATGAGCATCATGATGATGTGCATCAACATTTTCTGTAGACCTTGGGCTCTACAAACAAATACAAGCAATAATGAGATAAATCTGCACAGGGTATTAAGAGGCTAAAATAACTAGCTGATGTATTGTCATAGTATTATACCACATGGTGGCGTGAATTAGAACATCCTTTTTTCGGTCTTCATCATGCCATCTTGTTAGACTTGCTGTTTTAGAGGACAGAAATAACCTTTGGAGTGTTTTCTTTATAGGAAAGTAGCGGAGAACCTTCTTAGGAACCTTATACACATGTCTCCCATCTAGACTCTTCCTATCTGATTTCCATCGAGAAACCTCACATTTTGGACACTCATTTAAATCCACATTCTCTTTCCAGTAGAGAACACAATCGTTTGGACAAGCATGAATACTGTTGTAACCAACTCCAATGGATTTTACCAATTTCTTAGCTTCATGGAAGTTTCTAGGTAGATTTGAACCCTCAGGGAGTGCATCATTAAGTAGATCTAGTAGTAGGTTCATAGATCTATCAGACCATCCTCCAAGGAGTTTGATGCGGAGCAATCTAATTAGGAACCTTAGCTGTGTATATTTCTTGCAATTTGGGTATAGCTCTTTGCTATTTTCTGCTACCAACTTTTGAAGGGCAACTAGTTCAGGACAAGTTTCCAAAGTTGAACTATTGTCCTCAAAATCTCCTCTATCATCTAGACCAGCATCTAAGTCTCTAAGCAAATCAAATATTTCATCATCCTCACTAGAATCCTCTATGACCTCAGCAGCATCACAATTCCCATGATTCACAGAAGAGCTAGCTTCTCCATGTAAGTTCCATGTTCTATACCCTTTTAGAAACCCATCACATATCAAGTGCTCACGGACTTCACTTGCCTCTTTCCAAAATGAGTTTACACACTTTCTACAAGGGCATAATATCTTGCTGCCTACTGCAGAATTACTAAAAGCAAAAGCTAAGAAACCATTCACTCCTTGCAAATATTTCTTGGTGTGCCTATGTGAAAGTTTTAGGTTAAATACCATTTGACATGTATATATAACTTTCAATATTTGTAAAGTAATTGGTTTTTACCTAGCATTATCATCAATCCATGTTTTATCCATGTTCAACCTTCATGCAAAACATCAACCAGATTTCAATATGAAATAAAAAAATATCACAACCATTGAAATAGTCGCATACTTCCACAACACGGAAAAAAGAGAGCAACAGCTAGGGAAACAGAAACCTACCGATACAAACAAGTAGAGCTGCTGCCAAGAGCACGGTCAAATGCCTTCCCAAGGTGTCCAACCACACGTAGAGCAGCTGCAATTACAATATGGTGAGGTCAGACTGGTGCATATATTACTGCTCAGACATATCTCTTCAGTGGTGGATTGAGGAACGAAGCAAAGGGGGGCTGATTTACTAGTGACCCAATCAAATCTCCAGATGTGTATTTATGGAAAAACAGGAAACAAGTTCTCGACAGCATGTAATTATTTGATGGTACTAAATTGAAAAAACAAATATCAACTAGTTGAGTACTGGTGTCAAATAATGATATACATATGGAAATATAAACTAAATAATGCATTTTGAGCAATAGAACAGAACAAGTTACGTTTCTGAACTTTTAAGACTCAAGTGAAGTGTTATTAATTGGATAAATATTCGACTAGAAGCAACAAATGCAGAGATTTGAGAATAAGTACGAACATTTAGCAATATTTACAAAGCGATTAAGATTTGTATGTAACCGATTACCATTTTTATCCATCAAGTTCCCGTACAATCTATAGGCTCAATTTGCTTAAGCAGGAAAACTGAAGAGCCAGAGCTTTGGGCCTGGGACCTGGATGGATGGATCTGTTCTCTTTCTCCTACAGAACGATGCTGCAGGCTGCACGCCTGCACTACAGTCTACAGCAGCACCTAAGCGGAGGCTTAGACGATGCAGAAGCAGATGCAGTGCATCTGTTTTGTGGGCTTGCAGTAAATTATCTAACAATTGATCTCGAATTGCAGGTAGCCTGTTACTGCTCTTTAGAAAGAACACTTCAAAGGAATTACCCAAAACAATCAAATCAAAACCTAAAGAAATGGGATTCAGAACATAGGAAGGGAGCAGCGGACAGGGATGGTTCACCCGGAACCTAAACATGAACAAATCGCGACCTTTTCATGGGAGGGAAGAGAACGAGTACCTGGAGACGCTCCTGTTCGAGCTCGTGGGCGGCGGGAGCGGGGACGGCGGCTGCGACAACGGGGGAGGATGGGGACGACGGCTGTGGCGGCTGGGGCGGGTACGGCAACCCCGACGGCGGCCCGGACGACGACCACGGAGGCAGGAACGGTGGCCGCGGCGGCGAGGACGGGGGCCGCGGCAGGGGTGGCGCCCCCGCGAGCTCGCGGCGGTGCTGAAGGGCCTGAGACGAGAGTGGCGCTGGGTGCTCTCCGTGAACTGTGAGAGGGAGATGAGATGGCGGCTGATTGGGGTGGAGACTCGATGGGGTGAGTTGGTGGTGGAGATAGGGTTTTGGGTGGCACTATGACGTGTGGGCCACAAAAATTTCGGTGCGCGCAAGTGGGCTGGGCCGAGGGCGTCAAAATGAAATCGGGCTATAACGACCGATCGTCGAACCTTAATATGCATTTTTACCCACCGATCGTCCGAGGAAACAGCTGGAACCACCGATTATCGGACAGTAAAAAGGACAATAGCGACCGAGGCTCCATTACAAATTTATAGCTACCAATAGATGGTTGTTAATGCTATGTTTTAGCCACCGTTGTATGACGCTAATTATTAGCTGTGGTATAGTGAAATTTGGTTGAACTTAAAATATTTTGACTTTCTAAAAAAGATGGAATAACTTATAATTTATAATTTGGGACGGACGGGGTACACAAATTCCCAGTCCCGGTACCCGTGCCACGCCGCCGGGTTGTTGCGTTTCCAGTACTATATTTTATTTGGGCAAGGCAACAACACTTGTATTCTATGGTCAGCATTTCAGCAAGCTCTCGGAGATCCATAGCCGCAAGCCGGCTACCCAGCCTCCTAGCCTACCCGGGTACCCGGCATGTACAGGTCAGCAGCTAGGTCGATCTTTCCTTCCATTTCCATTTCCACTTCCACTCCCTCGGGTGCAGAAATTAGCAGCCCCGGGTTCCCGGCATCTACAGGTCAGCAGCAAGTCGATGCGTGGTTCATCACCCCGGCCGGCCGGGGGCACGGTAAGCTCTCGGGTACCCGGTCACCCACTGGGATGCGGGAGGAGGGGCTGTGGCGGCTCCCGATTGCTGGCTTTTATATACCGACAGCATGTAGGGTATTTTACCGCACTCCAAGCTACAGAACCAAACATCTTACACACCACAGTCCACACGCACTGAATCACACAAAGAAATGGCCATCCCGGCGGTCAGATTGACGGAGCTGATGTCTGATGCCAGCCAAAACGCGGCGAAGCTGCCGGTGGCATTGATCTCGTGCGGCGTCGCCCTAACCGCGGCGGCTCTGTCACTCCTCATCTTCAAGGTCCCCGGGGGCATCTTGCTCCGTCTGCACGGCAGTGCGCCCGTGTTCGTGTTCTACGGCAGCCTCGGAGCCATAGCCACCTTTGGGCTCGTGGAGGCGTCCTTCGGTTACTGGGCGAGGCCACGCGACCACCACGAGTGGCGCGCCGTCGTCTGCAGGGCGATGCTGTGGTTTTCCATCTTGCCTCTCGTGTTTGTCGTTGCTTTAGGAGGGGCCGTGTCTCTGAAATAGATGTCGCGTCCATTATGATGGTCCTGTGTACTTCTGTTATACGTACCAAAATTCATTCGTATCTGCTTGTGTGGGCACGAGCTGATAGTGCATTAGCTTCCTCTGTAGTGTGGCATCTATCTTCGTCAGGTAAACAGGTCCATCTTCTATGTATATATGTGTGCGCACGAGCTGCACGTGGTGTTTGTTCCTCTGCCTTTGTGGGGTATTTATACGAGGATTTGGTTTATTATGTGTGATATTGCTTGTCTCGTGTAAACTGTCTTTTCGTGCGTACGAGAGTAGGCAACTCCGAGATGCTATTCCTAGCTTTAAATCTATTTTAGACTTTTGGGGGGCATAAAATAGATTCCAATAGATATTGTATCCTGCATTCCAAAATAGCAGATAGGCTTAAGGCTGGATAACGAGTCAGCTCGGCTCGGCTCAGCTCGGCTAGGCTCGAAGATAACGAGCTAGCTCGGCTCGGCTCGTTATCTTAACGAGCCAGAAAGCTAGCTCGAGCTGGCTCGTTAAGCTTGCGAGTCAGGTATAAAAAATATATAAAATATAATATTTGCATTTATCTAAAGCTTGAGAATACTAATAATACAAAAATAATACATCCAACAGTCTTAAATCGAACAAAATATTCATATGTGCTAACATATTAACCATTTGTAAAGTGCAAGACATTAAGTAATACAATACTAATATAAGTTATGATTACTTTTTTCCTAAAATAGTGGCTCGTTTGGCTCGTGAACGTCTCATGAACTGGCTCAAGTTGACTCGCTGACGAGCTAAAATCTTAACTTGGACTCGGCTTGTTATAAGTCGAGCCAGCCACGAGCTTCGAGATTTTCGTGCAGGCTTACAGGCTATCCCGTGAAATCCGGTTGCCAAAGATAGCCAGCGAACGCCGCTCGCCAAAAACGGACCTCCCGCGCCGATTCTGTGACTTCCCGCGCGTCTGCTAGCTTCTTGTGCGCGTTCGTCTTGCCGCCGGAGGTAATCCTTGGTTCCCGTGGCTTTTTGCTTCTCTCCCGTGTGGGCCTGTCCTGCGCATCATCGATGGCATGGAGGGAGGAAGAATCCGAGTTGCTTGGGCGACGACGAGATGGCAGTCGGAGAGATCTGTGTTGTGGAGGAAGACGAATCAGAGAGCAGGAAGAAGCGGTGTGCGGGCGCGGAAATAGAAGCAGTAGCTGCGGCGAGACCTGTTATAGCTTTAAACTCTCCCGACGTTGGCGCCGTGCTCCGCAGGCGCCTGCTTCTTAGTGCTCGTCGGCCTGAGGGCCTCCGTGGGGCTTCGTTTGGACACCTCACCTGCTGCTGCTAGTAGACCTGGACGCCGCCACAGCTCCTGTCTTCATGTCGTGGTCGTCGTCAGAAACTGAGCTCGATCAGACAACAGGCTACTTCAACCAGTGGTAGAAGTAGAACAGGGTGAAGAACACGGCGTGGCTTGCTGCCTGCTGAACGAAGGAGACAGAGAGCAAGAGAGGAAACGAAGAAGACCAGGGAGCAGCAGGCTGTAGTAGCTTGCTGCCCGCTCAGCCTGCTGCAGAACGTTGTGGCCCTGTCTACAAGGTGGCGCGGAACGACGCGAATCCTTCAAGCAGTGGATCGAAAAATGGTGACGTGGCAAGTTTCAAATATAGACAAGCGAAATTTATATGAACTGTTGCTGTACTCTACTTTTTGAGAAGATTTCTATTTTAGAGAATAGCTAAATCAAGCCATCTATTTTTAGCAACACTCTTGGAGTTGCTCTAATGACAATGTTGTCAGCCTAGCAACAGTGAAAAATCGGCCCAGGACGGCTTAGGTAGCGTGCAAACCGGACCAGTCTAGTTTCTCTGTGTTTGTCCAAAACCACTATCAGCAAAAACGGCATTTGTTGTCATTCATGTGCTTGCAATTATGCAAGTGTAGCAAACTATGCAAATTGTGACTGTACATACAGGAGTTGTAAAGATCGCCATTGTGTTATAAACTATTTTAGAATGATATCTTACTATTACTAATTGGAAGCCCCAACGGAGCCATCACATAAAATTCTCATCAGACGCGCTAGAAAAAAAAAGATAAATCCTTAAAATTCCCACAAAAAATAGACAGATCCGTTCCATCGATTTGATGTACTATAATCACCGTTAATTCCCCCTCCTCTTCCTCCTCCTTGTCGTCTTCCTCCTCTTCCTCCTCCTCGTCTTCTTCCTCCTTCGACCCTTGGCGCTTCCCCCGGTCCAGCTTCGCCCACTCCCTCCTCGCCTTCTTCGTTCTCTTGTCGTCCATTTTCTTCTTCGTCTTTTCAACCGCAGCACGATTCGCTGCCCTCACAACAGCGTCCTCCGGCAACGGCGCGTTGGAGGCTCGGGTGAAGAAACCAGGCTGCATGTCCGGCACTCAGAACTGGACAAGCAAAAGAGGATCTGCTGGGAAAGGAAACAGGGAAGAAGCATACCATTTCGATGAAACCCAGCTCTGGGCGCATCACGGGATGTCCTGGAATCGGGAACTCAAATGTGACGGTGTTCACCTCCATCACCTCCCGGATGCGCTGCTCAATCTCGCTATTGTGGAGCGGCTCTCGGGAAAGCACCGTCCCCTCAAGCGACACAACGGGCGTCATCTGGTGCAGCGGGAGCGTGCGCGCCATCAGTGGCGCCACCCTCCTCGCGTGGTACGCCCCGACGATGCCGGTGGCGTGGAGGCCGTGGCGCTTCAGAAGCGTGATGGCCTTGAGGAGGTCGCCCAGCCTCCTCTTCTCCTTGTCGACGGGGCCCCATCCCCACGACTATGGTGGCTCCTCGATCGAGCGACAAGAGAAGATCGGCAGGGGGGCATCGGCGTCGTTCTTAAAGTAGAACCACTATTTATGCCATCCCTTATTGGACTTCGACAAGGCGGTGGCCATGTACTCGGACGCCCGGTGGCCTCGGAGGTGGATACTCGCGCACACCATCGGCACCGGTAGGTCATCCCTCTTCTTTTGTAGGGAGACGGCGAAGAAATATTTCCACAGCTCGAAGTGGGGCTCGACCCCCAAATACCCCTCGCACAACATGGACGAAGGTGGCGATGTGCTGAACCCCGTTAGGGTTCAGGTGCTGCAGCTCGATGTCGTAGTAGTGCAATAGCCCCCGCAAGAATCGGTGAGGGGGGACCGTAAGCCCGCGCTCGTGGAATGGCATGAAGGAGACGACGTAGCCATCGGGCGGCATCAGCACCTCCTCGTCGCCGGGCATGATCCACTCATTCGCCTCTGTCCTCACCCGAAGGAGCCCGCGCTTGACAAGGGCCTCCATGCGAGCGCGGAGGATATTGGAGCGATGCCATGACTCCATGAAGGAAGGAAGGCAAGAGACTCTAGCGCTGGCGGCGGAGCGGCGGCGGAAGGACGAGAGTAAGAAATCCTGGCGTTGGCGGCTAGGGAGCGGATGCGACAAGACTGCGATTGAGCATACCGATGACGAGAGGTAAGGCTCTCTATTTATAGGGGAGGCGGGCGGAATGAGAAGGCGAACCGCCCGCCTAGATCCGCACGCCTGCCGCGTCCCGTCATCATGCCCCTCCAGGAATCGTGTACACCCCCTCGGCCACTCCCTCGAAGGATGCGTCGGATGACGGTTCATCCACCCCGATGAGCCATGAACCGCTAAAGGTAAGAGGGGCACGGGGCTAAAAACGCTCCTACGGCCCATGAAGGCCTAGGAGTTCGAAGACTAGCCCACCGATGGGTTTGACAGCCGCTCCAGGGCGCCTTTTAGAGCGAGGGGTGGAAAGAGATAGGCCCGCTAGCGACCAGTACCCAGGCGCGCGAGTGCCATGAGCATCCTGACCCACGTTCGGGTCTTGATTACGCACGGTCCCTGGTTTTTCCTCGAAGAAAGGCGACAAGCCCTCGGGACCGGTCGATCGGACTTGAGAACTATATGGACTGGCTGTTAGGAATCTGGAGTCGGTCACCGGCTAACCCATGCGGATCCCTGTGAACAGGAACTGGGGCACCACTCAAACTGACCCGTTAGCAGCTCGTCGAGCACCATGTTTCATCCAACGAGGAAAAACATGGCACGGCTCAACCCCTCTATTTTTCCAAAAAATGCTTGAGGGAGAACGATCGCAAGACGAGCCGACCCCTCGACCGGACCCCTGCTACGTGTGGCGGCTTGGGGGCTTGGACTCGCATGGAGACCCGATGCAAGGTCGCACAAGAATGATGAATCGACCATCATAACCTAACCAAGGAAACCCTGACGAACCACAACAGGCGCTCTGAAGTTTTCCCATATGAAAAAAGCCTATTGAAAGGTCCTAATATGGCTAGAGGGGGGGTGAATAGCCTATTTAAAAATCTACAAATCAACTAGAGCAATTTGATTAGTATGACAAATAGCGTAATGCAAACTTGCTCTAGCTCTACAAGGGTTGCAAGCCACCTATCCAACAATTCTAGTTGCAAAGATTACTTAGGCACACAAACTTGCTATGTAACTACTCACTAAGAGCTCTCAATCTTGCTACTCTAAAGAGCTCAACTAGATGAATGTAAATAATAAAGCAAGCTCTCAATTCTAATTACACTAAAGAGCTTGTATCAACTAGTTTGAAAGAATGTAAATAAGTGAGTAGGGTGATTATACCGCCGTGTAGGGGATGAACCAATCACAAGATGAATATATAGCCAATCACCGGGAGAATGCCAAAGACAAGAGACAATCGATTTTCTCCCGAGGTTCACGTGCTTGCCAACACGCTACGTCCCCATTGTGTCGACCAACACTTGGTGGTTCGG